CACCACCAGGTCAGCGCGAACTACAGTCCCCATATCACAGGCAGTGATGCCTCTTTATGAATTACCTTTGCCTCACTTTCCTTAGTTCAAAAAATATCACAAAAGGCCTGGCTGGCACGGCTCAGTGGTTGAGCGTCGACCTATAATCCAGAGGTTACGGTTCAGTTCCTCGTCAGGGCATATGCCCGGGTTATGGGCTCGATGCCCAGTCTGGGGTGTGCAGGAGGCAGCCAATCAATGATTCTCTCTCATCATTGATATTTCTATCTCTCTCTCCATCTCCCTTCCTCTCTGAGATCAACAAAAATATATTTAAAGAAAAAAAACCCCTCACATTTCTACAGTAAAAATATTTTTTAAAAAAATGCCCCAAAGGGAAAAGGTGCACAAAGTGAGTCAGTCATGTACTTGCCCAGTATAGACTGAATAGAGCGATGGCCCCACCTGCTGATTCTACATGAACCGGCAGGAAGTTAGGGCATATGCAAGTTAGGAACCCTGCCTGAGTGCCTTCTCAATGCCCAAGTGACTCACAGCACTGCTGAGAAAAGCCTGTTGTCCTTAGACACAGAGTGATATGTGGGGTTTCTAAATATTTTCTCTAAGGTTCCATGTCTTCATTCTTGTTTATTTATTTTTGGTTTTAAATTAGTTGTACAGCTCCAGAAGCTACTAGAGGTGCAATGGTTTTATATCGGATCAAGTGCTGCGAGCCTTCCTCCAAGTCAATCACATAGTCCCTAAAAAAGAAGGAAAAAAATACATGTGCAGAGCTCAGCTGGTGGTCTATCGGGAGAAATATTCCTCACTGTCAAAATCACACACATCACTCACCTCTGCTCATCTGTTTCTGGTTCTACCAGGATGTTTTCTTGTCTTTCTTTCACTCTCAGAAACACATATGAATCTAGATCCGGTTTGGGAACTGCCAAAAAACAATAATGCAATCAGAAAATCCTCAGCAAACACAACCAATATGGGAAAAGTTGCTGGGATTAACTGTACCGAGCACTTAAGGACCCGTGATGTAAAAGCATTTTGGGGGTAGGATGGTGTGAGGAGAGATCTGGCTTCTAGAAACAGCACACTTCCCACCCAGGTTCCACAGAGCAACCATTCATTCAACAAATGATGAGGACTTCAGGCGTGCAGGGAATTCTGCTACGCCTCGTGGAGGACACAGGCAGGCGGAACACATGGTCTCTGGACAAGGGGGTGATAGCAGCATTGGATGGAGCCGCACACGAGTGGCACACTTCCCCAGTGATGTGGGGAGGAAGAAGTTGATGTGTGCTTTAAAGGAAAGAGCAGGATTTAAAGAGGAAGCATGACCCTGGTAGGCAATGGCAAAGGCCACGGCAGAAATATGCATGACCTCCTGGGGGACAGAGTGTGCAAATCTGGTTAGAAAATATTTCTAATATTAAGGAGTAGGAGGAGAGAGTACAGCAAGTCCCCACTTAATGTCATTGATAGGTTCTGCAACTACGTGAAATAATGTGTAACAAAACCAATTTTACTGTAGGCTAATGGATATAAACAAGAATTAAGTTCCTATGGCATTTCATCAATGTTATAATGAAGGGACATTGACTGAAACGTTATTCGGGGTCCTGCTATCTTAGAAACACTGGGATATAAAGTGATAGTCTTGAATAATAGCCTAAGTGGTCCCTCACTGGTTGATTACGGATAAAGCTGTGCCATCCCTCCTCTTCAACCACCAACCAATATCTCAAATGCCCCAAGCTGGGCTGCTCAACAGCTCATTTCCTGGCGCTCCGTTTGTACCTGAAGACCCCCCCAACGGCAGCATCCAGAACCTACTGGATAACTCTGTTCTTAGAGCCCAACTCAGGTCCCACACCGCCCTCGGTTCCCTCAGTCACAGGAGGGGGTTCAGGATAACTGGCCCCAGAGGTCTACAGAGGGCTCCCTGACTGCTCCGGGGTTCTGGGCCTGCCAGAGACTGCAACTTCAGGGTGAGTTAACTCCACTAGGAATCTACTGATTCCAGGAAACTCAGCTTAGATTTCAACATGCCTTCCCCCACCCTGCCATCGGGGTCTACAGTGCTCCAGAGGCCTGAGGGGGACTCACAGCATCTGGGCTAACAAAGCAAGACTCCAATTTCACCAGGACAGGCTGTCCCCCAGCTTCCAATTCCAAGACTGGCTCTAGTCCCTGTAAGGAATCCAGGACAGCGACAAGTGTTTTAGGAGGTGTCCACCAGCATCAAGTAGAAGCTCTGGGACAATGGTGTAGGTCCAGGTCCAGGAATTCAGATGCATGCCCATCAGTAGTCCTATGGCTGCTTTAATCAACAGGCCGCCATAGCAATGGGTAATGATTAGGGATGTGGTCCTTGCTGCATTCCTGTTCTTCTAAGGTGCAGACGAAAGTAGCTGAACTGGACATGGATTGGGCCTTCTGTTTCCCTCAGGCAGGTTCACCAGAATGACCAATTCAGAGTTCTACAATCTGGTATGGGTTTGGCTTGCTTCTGATGTGCACTGTGCCCCCCACCAAATACATGTGCTGAAGCCCTAACCCCTAGTACTTGAGAATGGAAATGTGTTTGGTATGGGGCCTTTAAAGAGGCATTTAAGTTGAAATGAGGCCGTTAGGGTGGGGTCTAATCTAATCTGACTGGTGTCCTTATAAGAAGGGGAAGAGACACTCAGGGGTGGGGAGAGGTGCAACGGGGCGGGGGGTGGAGGGGGGCAGCCATGTGAACAGGCTGAAAGTGGCCATCTGCAAGCCAAGGACTGAGGCCTCGGAGGAAATCAACCCTGCCAGCACCTTGATCATGGACTTTTGGCCTCCAGATCTGTAAGAAAATAAATTTCTGCTGTTTGAGACCCCCTGTCTGTGGTACGTTGTCATCGTAGCCTGAGCTGACTAAGACATCTATCTGGGGAACACGTCTCCATGCATCCTGTCCTAGCTCTTCCACCTGCCACAGGGGCAGTGTGGCCCAGCACAGGGTGGTAGGAGATCAACTGCCAGGACTCAGTTGTACTTGAACTTGTGGCTTCAGCACACTAAGCTCAGTTTGTGAACAAGGTGGATTCCTGTCCCTGGAGCACTGTTGGATTTGGTTTGGCAATTTTGTCTGACAAGGTCCTGCTCAGATATGGTGAGCTGTGAAAGACAGATATGGACTTTAACCTATACGCTAGGGGTCTCCGGTTAGTTGATCCAAGGTTAGGAGTTACTACCATAAGTCCCTCCCCTCAGCAGAATTTTAAGGGGATTCTGTAAAGAGGGCAAGAGGTGGAGGTGTTGGCCACGTTTCATGTCCCCCAGGGCCTCTTTCCC